TGTGCAAATCGAGCGTGAACTGACTCCAAGAAGAGATAGTATCAACAAGGAGAAATCGGCTGTGACTGTCAACAGCAACCTTGCTAAGCTAAAAGATTTATACGGAGACGCGAGTAGTCATAAAGGCGATGAAGGGTTTGGAACAAGGAGGGATTCAAGTTCAGAAGAAGTGATCAAGCTTGGTGGTTCCTCTTGGAGGTGAAAAGAGAAATAACGAAGCAAAACAAAAAAACAAAAAAAAACAAACTGTGGATTTAAAAGACTTATTTTATTTTGTAGGATAATGCCTGTTGTTTCACTGTACTGTTTTAATTTCCAGCAAATTATTTGTTAGATGCCTAAAATTACGATTTTAAAGTAGAACTTCATCTTGAAATATGTTGATGGAGGTGAGAGACAAAAACTTGAAACCTGCGGGTTTCCCGGTTCATTAGCAGTAGCACCTTGAACCGGGCCGGATTATTGGTCTCTTACCGGTCCAGTCCTGGTATGATGAAAACAAAGACTGGATTTTTCTTTTTAAAATCTATCCACAAAATCTTTCTCTGCAACTGAAACCACCGAAAGATGGCTTATTCTCATGGTCTCCTCCAACCTCTTCACTCCACTCTCATCTTTCCTAAGCCAATAATAAGTTTTCGTCTCATTCATTTCTCATCTTCCCTCAAACCCTTTCTCTCGAAAAGGCACAATCTCTCAAAATCATTGACTCTCCCTTGTGCACTTACGGAATCAGATTCTTCTAAACCCTTAGACACAAGCTCCAAATCAGCCCTTCTCCTACAACTCTCCGTAAGTGGAAAACTCTTTCTTCGATTTCTCTTTTGGATATTAATGTTGAATTCTTGTTTCATTGTGTGTTTGCAGAAGTGTTTCGATCTTCCATCCGATTACTTCCAGCAGCTACCAGCTGACCTTCGTCTCGATGTAATCAATCTCCTATAACTTTGCTCATATTTGTCCTTTTTATACTACTACTGAGTAGTTTTGGTTTCTCTCCAGTTAAATGATGCTGCTTTTGATCTCTCCAATGGACCCATCATCCATGAGGTTAGTTCTGCTTTTCTGGCACACCTCAATTTGTTATTTGACTACTATCTCTTTTGACTTAGCTTCCTTGTTATTTATAGTGTGGTCAAGAGCTTGGGGAGACCTTACTGAATCTGTCCCGTGCTTGGGAACAGGCTGACACATCGGCTTCTCGTAGTTTAGTAGCGAAACTTCCAGAGCTGGAAACTTCATTAACAGATGGTGCCAGATCAGGTAACAACAAGTAGCTCTATATATAGTGTGTGTGTGTGGCTCTTGTAATCCTTCTCATTTTTTTAACCTTTTTTTGTGTTCAGCCTTTGGGAGGCGTCTGATATCTGCGGGGAAAAGGTTCCAGGGCATGGGACAATATGGTCAAGGTGACTTACAGAAGGTACCTGAAATGTAGGTGTGGTTTCTTCTACTTATTGTTTTGATTATGTCACATAAATGTAAGTGACAGTTTATCGAAATTGTTTGCATACTTATTTCACAAGACTTAAATGCTGCAATGAAACAATCAGTTGTCCATTTGTATAATCATTCATACATACTAGAACAAATGTTGCTGAGAACTCGCAGATTGCTAAAACGATGATTACAATTGGCGAGGTCCTTTCTGCAAGTACATCATCGGTTTCAGTTAGTACTGAATCTAAATCAGAAACAAGGATGTTTAAGGTAAAGAAGTATATATGGTATCCCTTCTATCTTCACTGAAGCTACTTTGCAGATGAGAATCTTTTGGTTTGAACTGCAGTTTGGGGACCTTCAGGTTGCTGTGAGTCCACAGAAAGCCTACGCCGGAGCTGCCATTGCATTCGTATATGGGTATTTGTGGGAGCTTGTTTATCACTTTTGAAAACTGTGTATCTTGCTCTTAACAACATTGAAAACATGGCATACTTGGATCAAACAGGATACTTTCATGGCAAATTAGTCAGGGGATCCAAAACATACCAGAGAGCTCTTTGCAGTATGCAAATGACAATGCAACGTTACTTGGACAGGTTGGTGGATCAAACATTCTACTCCCATTCTTTAATGCTGATCAGTCACCATACTGTGCAGTAGAGGATACTGCTTTCGGTTGTTTTGGGGGTTTGTAAATTGACGTTCTGTCGTGTTTTTATGTTTCTCGGGCAGTCTCTGAGAGGGTCTCTTCTAGCCCTGTTTTATGCGTCAACCGTCTTGTCAGGCTTCACAACAGCTGGGCTTCTCCTACTTGCTAAGCAACTTTCATCAGAGAAAGAGTGAACCCATGATGATTACACACTTCCATTTCAGACAGATGATACGAAACTTTTATTAGTGTCATAATCCTTCCGGGATGGTTTCTGATACTCATGTTCACGGCCATATATTGTATCTACTACAATTGTGTACTTTTCTGTCTATTAAACCTATGGAACCAGTTGAGTGTATTTTCCTATAGAGAAGATGTAATCACTTTGTTATCAATAGTTAATGTTGGTCAAGCAACAAGGATTATATGAAAAACCGATTTTTCATAGCTCAGCAAAACATAAATTTACTATCCAAATTTCTATTTTTTGTGCGGAATCATATAATATCTTAACGGTATTAAGAAGTGTCACCGTTAACTGTTACTGATGTGAATGCCATGTATAATAAAGTCGTCATTTTGCTTAAACGAACAA